CAGAGAGCACTAAACCTAGCCGACAACGGTTCTGGACCACACTTGACACACAGACCCAACATGGCCAGCTGTGTATACAGGCCTGGTTTGGGAAGGATTGACCCATGATTCTGGGAATTGTAGTTCACCCACATCATTATGTATTTTCTAATGGGAGCATTCATTAAAAAATAAAATCAAAGATTGGCTTTTTTCTAATAAATAGTGTTACTAATTAACTAAATGACATGACCTAACATCCCAAAACAAACAATGCCTTTTTCAAATAAACCGGCCTCTGCTAAATACCCAAGTTAGTAATATGTATAAAACAAAGTCTGGGTACATTAAACCATCAAAAAACAAAAGTTTCACCTCAGCCACTCCTGTGGGGATTTTGGAGTATTTTGGAATTCTGGATAATGGATACTCAACCTGTGCTATGAAAGACTTCCAGTCTACACTTTCAAACCAAACCAAATATTAAATGTTATGTCTTTTTGTCTTTTTAAGAGGCTCACTCTTAAGAAAACTGATTAAATAAAAATGTTATTTTTGGAAGGATTGGTTGTTGTCTGTATGTTCCAAATGGTCACTCAGATTAATTGGATTTTTGCCTTCTCTACCCATGAGAGTTATGTCACATCTACTGCTACGTATGGAAGATATATCCCACATAATATGGAAAGTCAGCTGGAATCCTTTTTGAAGCTTACAGAGGGAAAACGGTTATTTATTGGTGCAGGAATGCATGTGTGAGAAGGTAAATTAGATATAGGTGAAACGGCTTCTCTTATATTTGTATATCTTTTAAGAAAAAGCAACATTTTAGTCTGACATGTTGCTTTTGTTTGTCTATCCTGTTTCAAAGAAAAACCAATTAGTTACAGTTTTTCATAATCAGTCTCATGTAAGCAGTTCTGCTCTCCTTGTTCCAAATCCCATTTCTCCTATCAGTTTGTTCCAAGATTCCACCTTATATCTATTCTTAAAACAAAATTATTTCAACATTCGTTTTATTTCCAGCTGTTATGAAAAAAGTCATCTGGATAGCCTTTCAGCCTATTTTTTCATGCATTCTTCTATGCTATTTCACTGAAAAGAACTAGTTTAACAACTGGGATGTATTATTCTAATTTCTCTGCATTGCCATTTACAGGCTTGCTGTTTGATGTAAAGGAAATGTTGCCGCCCTTCGTTTTCCAAATGGACAGGTGTGCAGGTAGAACTGAAATCTTATTTCAGCACTGACGTTGGAATAGCGTACTTCACTATTTTTGAGACCAGAGTTTTTTAGTGGGCCCAGAATGGTTGTGGGGCATGCACAGATCTCCAAAAGAGAACAGCCATAAATTTCACAATAAACTATGAGAAACTAACACTAAAGTGGCTGCATCATTCTGCCTAACAGTAGGACCAATCCAGTGTCTGAAAGTCTGTTCCATCCACATGAAAGATATTAGTAACCTGAGGCATCAGATGGATATTGAGCTACCAGCCCTGTCCTTTGCTGGCTAGAATTGGCCTCACAGGATAGCCATAAGATTTCCCAGTTATTAGGTTCTTGTGGGTTTTTTCGGGCTATAGAGCCATGTTCTAGAGGCATTTCTCCTGACGTTTCGCCTGCATCTATGGCAAGCATCCTCAGAGGTTGAGAAGGTCTGTTGGAAGTAGGAAAAATGGGCTTATATATCTGTGGAATGGCTGGGATGGGGCAAGGAGCTATTCCCTGCTGCAGTTAGGTGTGAATGTTTAGCTGATCACACCTAACTGCAGCAGGGAATAGCTCCTTGCCCCATCCCAGCCATTCCACAGATATATAAGCCCATTTTTCCTACTTCCAACAGACCTTCTCAACCTCTGAGGATGCTTGCCATAGATGCAGGCGAAACGTCAGGAGAAATGCCTCTAGAACATGGCTCTATAGCCCGAAAAAACCCACAAGAACCTAGTGATTCCAGCCATGAAAGCCTTCGACAATACATTTCCCAGTTATTATTCGAATGGTCAAAGTTTCCTATCTTCTGCTGATGTCTTCAAAGCAATATTTAAAGTCTTCGGCATTGCTTATTTGAGAGGAAAGCTCTGGGAACACGTTAAAATTCTTCTTTTTCGTCTTCTTTTTTGCTGCATTCCTCTGGATGCAGCTACACGATTGCATTTTGTCCCAGCTTGAGCTGCTATGTCTCAATGCTGAGGAATCGTGGAAGCTATAGTTTAACAAGGTCTTTAGCCTTCTCTGCCAACGATTGCTGGGCTCTCACCAAACTACAACTTGAAGGATTTCATAGTATTGAGCCATGGCAGTTAAAGTAATATCAAACAGTATTAATTCTACAGTGTAGATCAGGCTTGAGTAAACTTTGGCCCACCAGGTGTTTTGGACTTCAACTCCCATAATTCTTAAAAGCTGGTAGGCTGTTAGGAATTGTGTGAGTTGAAGTCCAAAACACCTGGAGGGCTGAAGTTTGCCCATGTCTGGTGTAGATGCACCCCTAAGCATTCTCCTGCCATAGTCAACCTCTAGTCCAGGGATGGAGAATGTGTAGCTCTGCAGATATAATCAGACTGCAGCTCCCGCCATCCCTCACCATTGGTGTGCTGGCTAGCGATGATGGGAGTTGAAGTCAAACCAACTCTGGCAGGGACCACACATTCCCCACATCTGCTATAGTCCCTCGGTCATCAGATCTTAAATATCGGAGTGCTCTCTGAGATCTTGAAATTGTAAAAGGTGGTTTTAAACTGTGTGGTGTCCTGGACCCAGAGAGCTCTGGAAGCTTTGCTGTTTCAATAGTTTTCATCCCTAGAAATAAAAATGAATTTTGAAACATCAGACTCCATGTGGGAGGGAGGTTCCGTTTTTGGCTGTGCTCTTGCACAGGAGATTTTGCATTGCTCAGAAAACTTCCAGATGTGGAGCTGCAGGAGGAGCCGTGAAAACATGTGTTCAGTAATAACATCTGAGGCCTCATTCAGGAGCATTGCAGCCTGGCTCATGGCACAAATCCTACAGTTTCCTCTTTCTGCCTCTGGCTGTGTCTACACATGCAGTTTGACATGCCATGGCTCCATGCTATGCAGTCATGGGATTTGTAGCTTGGTGAGGTGCTGGCAAAAGATAAAGAACTAGCGAAACTAAGGCTGCATCTACACCAGCGTTTCTCAACCTGGGGGTTGGGACCCCTGGGTGGGTCATGAGGCGGTGTCAGGGGGGGGGGTTTGCCAAAAACCATTAGAAAACACAGTATTTTCTGTTGGTCATGGGGGTTCTGTGTGGGAAGTTTGGCCCAATTTTATCGTTGGTGGGGTTCAGAATGCTATTTGATTGAAGGTGAACTATAAATCCCAGCAACTACAACTCCCAAATGTCAAGGTCTAGTTTCCCCAAACTCCACCAATGTTTACATTTAGGCATATTGAGTATTTGTGCCAAGTTTGGTCCAGATCCACCATTGTTTGAGTCCACAATACTCTCTGGATGTAGGTGAACTACAAGTCCCAAAAGTCAAGGTCAGTGCCCACCAAATCCTTCCAGTATTTTCTGTTGGTCATGGGAGTTCTGTGCACCAAAATTGGTTCGATTCCATCGTTGGTGGAGTTCAGAATGCTCGTTGATTGAAAATGAACTATAAATCCCAGCAACTACAACTCCCAAATGACAAAATCAACCCCCCACCCCAAATACCACCAGTATTCAAATTTGGGAATATGGGTATTTGTGCCAAATGTGGTCCAGTGAATGAAATACATCCTGCATATCAGATATTTACATTATGATTCATAACAGGAGCAAAATTACAGTTACGAAGTAGCAATGATAATAACACTATGTTTGGGGGTCACCACAACATGAGGAACTGTATTAAGGGGTCGCGGTATCAGGAAGGTTGAGAAACACTGATCTACACTGTAGAAATAATGCAGTTTGACACCACTTTAACTACCATGGCTCAATCCTAAGGCATCATGGGATTTGTAGTTTGATGAGGCGCCAGCACTGTCCAGCAAAGGATAAAGAATGAGTGAAACTAAGGCTGCGTCTACACTATAGAATTAATGCATTTCGACACCACTTTAACTACCATGGCTCAATCCTAAGGTATCATGGGATTTGTAGTTTGATGAGGCACCAGTCGTTTTTGGCAAAGACTAAAGACCTAGTGAAACTAAGGCTGCGTCTACATTGTAGAATCAATGCAGTTTGACACCACTTAAATGCCATGGCTCCATGCTATGGAGTCATGGGATGTGTCGTTTGCTGAGGCACCAGCAGTTTTTGGTGAAGACTAAAGAACTAGTGAAACTAAGGCTGCGTCTACACTGTAGAATCAATGCAGTTTGACACCACTTAAATGCCATGACTCCATGCTATGGAGTCATGGGATGTGTAGTTTGCTGAGGCACCAGCACTCTCTGGCAAAGGCTAAAGAGCTAGAGAAACTGAGGCTGCGTCTACACTGTAGAATCAATGCAGTTTGACACCACTTTAACTGCCATGGCTCCATGCTATGAAGTCATGGGATTTGTAGTTTGGTGAGGCACCAGCAGTTTTTGGCAAAGACTAAAGAACTAGTGAGACTAAGGCTGCGTCTACACTGTAGAATCAATGCAGTTTGACACCACTTAAATGCCATGGCTCCATGCTATGGAGTCATGGGATGTGTAGTTTGCTGAGGCACCAACACTCTCTGGCAAAGGCTAAAGAACTAGTGAAACTAAGGTTGCGTCTACATTGTAGAATTAATGCAGTTTGATATCACTTTAACTACCATGGCTCCATGCTATGGAGTAATGGGATTTGTAGTTTGGTGAGGCAGCAGCACTCTCTGGCAAAGAAGGCTTAAGATTCCAGGATTCCATACCATAGAGTTATGACAATTAAAGTGGTGTCAAACTGCATTAACTCTACAGTGTAGACGCAGCCTCTATGAAAGGAGAGACCATGCAGAGCAGAAGCCCACAGCAAACCGGAAGTTGCGTCATCCCCATGGCGGATCTGGTTCCTCCTCCTCCTCCTCCTCTCTTCCGGTGTGCCCCATGTTCCTGCTTCCCCCGGTCCCTTCTTTCTTTTGCCCGGGCGAAACAACCACAAGAGACGGGAGAAGAGGAATGCGAAGGGAAGAGGCGCTTTCCCCTCCTCTTCAACATTTTGAAGCTTTCTAAGGATTGGGATCCATCGCTCGGCGCTCTTCCCAAGCGAAGCGAAGGAGGATTTCTCTCATCGATTCACCCTGCGAAGAAACACGGCCCTGTTCGACTAAGGCAGGTGTCGGCGGTGGCGCATGCGTAGAAGAGCCTCAGAGGGGCGGCTGTTGCTATTGGTTACTTCTCAGTGGGACAGACAGGAGGTCTTGGTTGGGACTTCAGGTAAAGACAGTGGGATGCTGGGAAGGGAAGGCCCAGCACCTCTCCCTCAAAGAACTAGGCCGCTTACAGTGTGGATAAAGCATGGGCAAACTTGGGCCCTCCAGGTGTTTTGGACTTCAACTCCCACCATTCCTAACAGCCTCAGGCCCTTTCCTTCGCCCCCTCAGCCGCTTACCTGGAGGGCCCAAGTTTGTCCATGCCTGGTGTAGATAAACCTTGAGAGACGGTTTACAACAAATCAGTACACATAATATCATAGTACAAGTTCAAACAATATAAAACACAACAAAAGCAATAAAAACATCATTGGCGTTTGTAGGTTTGTTCTTAAATTGAATGTGTATGTACGTCGGAACATCCCGTATAGACTACTGCAACGCTCTCTACGTGAGGTTGCCTATGAAGACTGTCCGGAAGCTGCAATTAGTCCAATGCTCAGCGGCCTGGTTACTAAAAGGGGTGGGGTACAGGGAGCGTACAACTCTCTTGTTACGCTCCCTCCACTGGCTGCCAATTAGCTTCCAAGCACAATTCAAAGTACTGTTTTTAACCTATAAAATCCTATATGGTTCTGGCCCAGTTTACCTGTCCGAACATATTCTCCCCTATGAACCATCAAGAGTGTTAAGATCGTATGGAGAGGCCCTGCTCTCGGTCCCGCCATCTTCGCAGGCGTGTCTGGTGGGGATGAGAGACAGGGCCTTTTCTGTGGTGGCCCCTCGGCTATGGAATTCTCTCCCAAATGAAATTAGATCTGCCCCCTCCCTCCTGACCTTTAGGAAGCTAGTGAAAACCTGGCTGTGCCACAAAGCTTTTGCAGAATGATGTCTGAGACCGGCAATCGACTAATGGTACTGATCACAATATATGGACTGGACATACGGACTGAGTTGGACACTATTTTATCTTGGCAAACGGCTTTTATGTAATTTTATGTAATTTATGTAATTTATCTTATATGTAATTGGTAACTTAATGTTGTGTATTATGTTTTAGATTTTCAGTGTTAGCATTGAATCTTTGCTGTTAGCCGGTCTGAGTCCCTCTGCAGAGGTAGAGAAGATCGGGATATAAAAGTTTTAAATAAATAAATAATATACTTTAAAGTGTAACTCCAGCCAAACACACACACACATATATAAGTAAGATTTGGATAGCATAGGAAAGGTTAACACCCCTGTGGTGTTTGTTTTGCTGCCTGTGCCCCTGTTCAGAAGATTTCACCCCACTTTCTGTCCCTGTGATAATTGTATTGTGAAAATTTTGACTTGTTTTGTAAACAAGGATTGGGGATAAAGCTTCAGTCGAAACACCTTTTCCCCATGAGAACTCTTCCAGGAGTGAATTTCCCTTCCGACGGGGAGATTGCTTTCACTTCCTGTTGTCTCAACCCTGTTCTTTACTATAAGTCATTTGCAAGTCGGATGTTTGTAACTCAGGGACTGCCTGTATTGGTTTTCCTCTTTTCTTATTTTCTTCCTCTTTCATGAACATTATTCTGTTTTCCTCCTCTTCATTTTTTTTGTCAGATTTAGTTGAGTACAGGTGGCCCTCTGTATCCATAGATTCTACATCCATAGATTCAACCACCCATATCTTGAAAATGTTTTATAAATATCCAAACCTTTAGTTTACTATTTTATATAAGGGGCAATATTTCACTACAGCACTGTATATAATGGGGCTTCAGCACCCACAGATTTTGATATTGTTTGTGTGTTTGTCTTTAAAACCAAATCCCAGTGGACACAGAGGACCCAGCATATCATAGGAGAGGAGGAGACTTGTATGTGGATGCTGGAGACTCTTAGTCTCGCTATTTTCACAGGGGTTAGAAGTGCACTATAATTCTAATTAAGCTCATTTAGGCTATGTGCATATTTAAATCTTTAAAACATTTTATGTTAAACCTTCGGAAAATGTGTTGATTATTTTTGTCTACTGAAAGAAAAAAAGGTACAGATAGTTCACTCTGTTGCAGAGCATATGCACAAATCATTCTGAAGTCATCTTGCCATTCAGTTCCTATGACTCATCTTGATGTTACTGAAGTCTAATAGCCTCTCTTCAATCACTTGGACTTTTAAAGATAGTTCAGTCTTGATTTGTTCTCAGCCTATTTGTTGTTGTTTTGGTTTTGGCTGCCCATTGTTTCTGTAGAACTCTCCTCCAGCAGCTTAATCAGCTTATTTGTTTGAATGTCTTGTTCTTTCCCCATATCCAGTACTGGAAGGCACTGGGAAGACAATTTAAAAAATCAGCATAACAAGTCCCTGAATATTGTGGAAAAGTGTCTTGCTCTCAACACTGAGTTGCCACAGTCTACTCTAACCCAAGCCAGAGGACTCCTCCTTTGTTTTTTTTTAAACAGAAACATTGTGTTTCAGATATTGGGTTGAGGTGTAAAAGCGGCATTCGTTGAATTATGAATGAGAATTGCCAGCCTCAGAGAAGACAGGGATAGGGCTGTGTCAGTACTGCAATGCTGTGCAAAAGTATATTGTGGCCAGTTGCTTCTATTTATTATTTATTGGTTGTTTCCAGCATTTCTACCCCATCCTTCTCAACCCCCAGAGGGGGACTCAGGACAGCGTACACTTGGCAACAATTTGATGCCATAACATATAAACAGATACAACAATATAACAACAATTTAAAACAATAGATTAAATATTAATTAAAACAATTAAAGGCATTATTGTCAGCCATATAACCATTCTAGGTGCTGTTAGCATGTTTCTAGATATAGGTCTGGACTGGGAATCATGTGACCTTTCAGTTGTTGGGCTGCATTTCCCAGGAATCCTAGCTATCATAGCCAGTGGTGAAGGATGATAGGACCTGCAGCTCAGCAGTATCTGGAAGACATGAGGATTGCCAGAGATGGACAAATTAACAATATTGATCAAGGAGAAATCATTGACTAAATTTAATGAAGACTGGGCCTATTTTTTACAGCAAAGATGAGGACAAGCTTAAATTATTGGTTTTCTGATTTAGATGAATGCGGTTAAAAGTAGAAGCACAGAAATAAGCACATTTAAAGGGAGTAACAAGTTGGAAGTTAAAGTCAGCATGCAATGAGTGTGAGGCTTTGTAGATTAATTTTAGTAGATATCTGTTTGGAATGTTTAGTTTGTATGTTGTAGATAAAAATGTGCTACCTGTTGTAGTTTAGTTATAACTAAAAATGAAGCATTGTTCTTGTCCCTTGTTTTATATAGTAATGGTTTCTACTTTGTTTTTCTTTGTACTCGTAATTTTTTTCTTTTTGTTTTTTCTTGTTTTGTAAATTTCTATTTCTTTTATTTTGCATGTTTGAATAAAAGCTATTTTTTTTAAAAAAAAAAAATGCTTCAGGATGGTCATATGGTTCACACATCTGATGCAGGTGAACTGCTAAGCTCTATGCTTTCTTCCTCTGGAGTGACTGTACTGATTGCTGATTTTTGATTCTAGATTTTTTGTTTCATCTCTCTAGGTTTTTTGTCATGGAGTTTCAAGCAGTGGTGATGGCAGTTGGCGGTGGATCCCGCATGATGGATCTAACGTCAAGCATCCCTAAAGCTCTCCTCCCTGTTGGAAATAAGCCTTTGATATGGTATCCTCTGAACCTGCTGGAACAGGTTGGTTTTGAAGGTGAGCAACAAACATTTTAAAAGCCAATAATATGCAGTCTGCAGTGTGGTAAAATGATACATAATATCAGAGAGAAATTGGCATTGTGATACATTGTAAACATGTTGGGGAAGGAATTACACACAAAAATGGAAAATCTGCTGAATTTGACCCCGCAAATAGTAGTCTAACCAATCACAACTGTGACATTTGTCTTTTGGGGTTGGAGGGCGGGAATAATGTAAAGGATGTAGTATAGCATTCCTATCTACTGTACTTCAGTATAGGCGTTTAGGGACTCTGCAATGACAGATAGTGGAAAGAATGTTCAGAAAAACGGAATATATGTACCTTTCTAGGTTGCTACTAATTTTAAAACATATATAGGAGCTACATAAGTCCCATTTTCTCTTAACTTGAGGCTGCATGCCATATAGTGTATGGAAGGCCTATATGTAATCTATGGCAGAATCATCTGGGAAATATGCCAGTTTTCTATAAGCATTTCAGCCAGAGCTGGATAAGAACAACATATAAGGAAATCTACTATACACATAAACATTTAAGTGCAGTGTATGACAGAAATAAAACCATGTTCATTCAAAGTTAAAATGGGTAAATAATATTTCAGTTCTTCTGGAACTAATTCCTCTATATTTTCATGTATAAGTCTAGAAAGTTTAGTCAAAAATCAAGCCAAAAGCCTGGGTTAACTTATCCACGAGTCAAGGTGTGTAATGTACCTTAACACTTGTCAAAAAAGGAACTATCCCTTTTTTTTGAGTGGTGAAAGATGAGAGCTTAGACCACCCCAGGACAATCTAAAAGGAAAACCAACCTACGAAAGAGACAAAACTTCAATTCCTGAGAATACAAAATATTAGAAGAATATTAGAAGAATATTAGAAGAATTGTGGAAGGCAAACAATATTGAAGTATTATTAAATATTTCTGGTTGGTTGTACACACCATGCAGGTCAAGTTGTCATTTCTATTAGACCAAACTGAATAACACATAACTGTTAATAACACATAGTGTATTAACAGCTTCTCTATTTGGTATTAACTTAAATTCAATAAGCTAGGTCCTGCCTACAGAACAAGGTGAATTTTACAAGGTAATATGAAAATAGTTCTAGCACAGACTTTTGGAGGGCCCATGTTATTGCAAGGTGAAGGAAGAATTGATGAAATTTGCTTTTTCCTTCTCATGGTGGGATATTTCTGCTGAATTGGGGATGAGAATCATATGGCCTTCCAGATGTCTTTGGGTACACTACCCAACAGTCAATGGTGAGGAATGCTGGGAGATGCAGTCCACAAAGACTAAATGTCCAAATGCCTCCAGCTGAAGATGCCCTCTCAGTGCCAGTTCAATTAACATGCATCCTTGGAGCCCAGAGGAAATGCAATCATTCCAAAACGATGTATAACCCTCTTGGTCCTTGAGGCCCAACCACATTTCCTTGGAGTCACCCTTCTCATTGCCGGCCTCATCCTGCCACCCATCCGCCTAGGGGCTTCTGGTGTCCATTTCCCCGCTGCCACCACCTCCTGTGAGGTCTCCCTCCAGCCACCCGCTTCTTGTCGGTGGCACTGCGGGAAGCCTCAGCATGGCGCTGCACTAGACCCGAGTTAAGCTGGGTCAGCGAAGTCTTGGTGCAAGAAAAGAGGAAAGGGACCCGGGAAGAGGGGCAGCCCCCTTGCTTCCGCTTCCAGAGGGAAAGTATTCCATAAACATCAGGAGATTTGTATTAAAGTTGTCTGTTCTTCTGCACTTTAGAGGCCATTGTGATTACAACGAAAGACATCCAGAAAATGCTAAATTTGGAGATGAAGATGAAGCTTGATATTGTGTGTATTGCTGATGATGCAGATATGGGAACTGCAGACTCCTTAAGACATATTCATGAGAAAATAAAGGTATAATTTTCATCATTTTAGAAATGTACATTGTCACTCTATTTTGATTGTAATAAATGTTAGTAAGGCATATATGTATAGAAGAAAGAAGGAAAAATCTAAATGTAAGAAACTGAATGATTATGGTACTGATTAAAAAGGAATAAGACATGAGGGTGTCCCTAGATTTCCAGTACTGAATAAAGGGATGTCTTATAACTTGAAATTTATTCAGAGTTTGTCTATGTTTTGTCCCCTCAGAAAAAAGTAAGCCTTCTCATTTTATTTAGGTACCAAAGTTTATTAAGTCAGCCATGCTTTTGGATGCTTAATTCTCCGTTCTAATGCCCACGGTTTTGGTTTAGTGAATAGATTTGCTGTTAGTTTCAGTTCACCCATAGGGACTTCTCTCTCCCTCTCTAGAAATACAAGTTCACTGTAGATGTGAAATATTTTCTGTAGGAAACTTATGATGCAGTGCTTTATAGGCCTGTTCTATTTTGGTTGTTTACTGGAAAATTCTTCCAGTAAATGTGTATAGATTTTCAGCCTCAATTATTTTTTTCAAGATGTTTGTATAGTTATAGACCTTTGCATATTACCCATTGTATAATATATCTGTGAAACCACATTGTAAAATGCAGTTCAAGCTTAAATGTGTGTGTGTTGGGGGGGGGGGGGGGAAGGTGAGTATGAACTAAATTTTATCAGATAATTTCATCCTTCAATCCCCTTTTCTTTTTCATATAGATGTTTTGTTTTATTAATCAGTCTGTACACACTTTTGTCATCTCATACTCAATATTTTGTCAGATACTTTGATTCAAGATATTGAGAATAACAGGTGTTTCAGTTCTTGGTTACAGCAAGATATATGCAGTACACAATACAATAAATCTCAATCTGGGATTAATTAATTAATTAAGATATAGCAAGAGCTGTGTTCCTGTATATAGCAGGCAAGATAAATAGCATATGCTAACAGAATTCCATATTGGGCAAGCACGAAGAGTAAAACAGAGAATATGGCAGAATATATAATCCTGCATTACTAACTACTTTCAGGATATTAAGAAGGCATAGCTCTGTAAATTTGGCCACCAAAATGAAAATCACAAGAAAAGTGGAGGCTAGTGAATGGAAAAAGTGTCCCTGGCTGCATATTGGAAAAAGCCTTCAAGTAGTTTCTAGATATTTAAAATGTTCTTGCTCACCTGAGTAAATCATATGCTACCTAATTTATGTAGCATGTATGTGTTGTCAGTTTCACTAGATTAAATTAGACATTGTGCATATTACTAATTAGAAACTCCATGCCTCCTATCCATCTGTAGTTTTGGTCTCTTTTCAGAAATAGTTTCCATTTGCAGAATTTTGTTTCTGTAATCATTAAGGCTTCTGGTTGTTTAGTTTAAGGAAAATGAGGTGCTCACATTGTATACTTAGGGCTTTTGTAGAATAGTCATGGCCATGCAGGTTCCTGGAATCTCACATCTAATCACAAATTTCTCACATTCCCACTATTCTGTATAGGATCTGTAATCCACATGGAAAGCGTAAGAAGGTCATGACTGGCCAATATCTAATAAAAGACATGCACATAAGAAATCTTTAATGTAGCAAACCTTTGGCTGTCCAAATTGTGTTGGCTGTTTCTCTCACAGTCCCTTGCTGTAGGCAAAAACATCTGGTGGGTCAGTGATTCCTTACCATTGGCAGAGAGGAGCTGCCATGAAGCAGCTAAGGAAACATTCAGGGCCTATTCGTGTATTGACTTTCCCTTCCCAGCCACTGCCAGAATACTTGATAAGGGTCTCTTATACATTGAGTATCTTTTTGCCAGTTGTTAGTTGTCAAAAGAGGAGCAATGAAAAACAAGGCTATATTTTCCCGTTTGAATCAATTGTGTTTCATTTGATGGTGAGTGTGAACACAAGACAAGATAAAATGGGATTTTAAAGACTTCATTCTATAGTTCATGGGCTCATTATATATTATCAATAAGGAAAAATATTCTGAATATGAAATGACCCCCTGATACATTGGCTATAAGATTTCAGTGGGATTTTCATTTCCATGACCATGTGATGCAGAGGAAACTTTATTGCAACAGCTGTCATAAACAGTGTTAATTTTGTAAATCTGAAGTGTTAAATTTTGAATTCCTTCACAGGAAAGCCTGTAGAGTACATCTTCAGTACAGGGAATCTTGCTCATTCCCTGTTTTATTTCCTGGCAGGAAACAGTACCTTAAAAGTGGACAAAGTTTCCTCAGTCCATTTTCTGACATTTGACAGATATTCTATCAGCTATAACAGAAGAACTAGGTCAGGTTGAAAGAGTCCACTGCTCTTTTTGCTTGCCATACTGTTATTTTTCCTCCGAGGAATACGAATACTGTTACAGGAAAAAAAAAATTGACAATAGCTCTTTTAATTTGACATCTGACTTGTTTACAAAGTCAGGAAAGAGTCCCATGCAACTCAGAATGATTTTAGAAGAGGACTTTTCTGAATGCAATATCATCCAAAGCCACATACAGCCACAAATCTTATCAAGCCCCATAGTTCCTTGATAAACATACATGATGTGCAATTATCCTCTTCTTTGCCCTGCGTCCTGTTAGTGATATATACATGTCTGTCCATTTTTGGGGATACAGTGAAGATTGGTATTCTTTTCCTCAACCATGCTGCCAATTTACAGAGCAGCCTCTGCAGCCCCACACATGGCCATTCCCTATTTTATGCGGAGTAGGCAGAAAGGTCTCCCCATAGATAGATGCCAAATGATGACACCACCACTGGGATCTTCCATGGTCTTCTGGGGTCTCAATACTGCTACAATAATTTCATGCCTGGCTATGAAGTATTAGATATTTCTGCACTCCCTCCCATTCCTCAAAAGACATGGAATAGTCATGTGACAGTTTAAGTCTGTCCAGTTAGTTGGAAGTGGTATATCACTCAGCTTGTCACGGGTCTGCCTGCAGACTACACTACTCTGAGCCATACAGGATTGCAATTTTGTCTTCTGTGACAGGATTTGTTACATTTTTTTACTTGAGTCCCCATCTTGCTTCTTTTGACAGGAGTTTGAAATATGAAGCTAGTACTCCGTAGCATGTGCTTGTATGCTGCATCAACATTTTGTTTTCTTTAAGTATTTTTCATGCTTTTAAGGTTGTCTCTGTTTTCTGTCACCAAGTATATTCTGGCCAACTATTTAAGTCTAGTGTAACAGAAATGGAATAGTTTTACACTTTCCTTCCTCGATGAGTCTTTAATTGTGCTATTGGAAGGCTTGACTAATACACAGTGAACCAGTCATCATGCTGTAAGCTATCATTGTTGGTAAGACTTTGACTATGAAATAAGGATGCCTCAGGTGCTTCACTCTATTTTTTCTGGATTCTGCAAGCAAAATTCCCAAAAATACATATTCAGCCTCCTTTGATACATAATGGAGAAAATGAAAAGTCATTACTCAGAATAGCTAAACAAAGACAGACAGAGAGACCAGATTTGTTTGATATATACATCTTTTGCCATTGCAGTGTGGAAAGTGTGATGTCACACCAGTGGTCTATACGCTGCTGACAGTCACTGATCCGTGTAGTCTTGGATAGAGCAGCTTAGCGCTTCACTTCCTATGTTGAAAAATCCCATTTCCAAACACATGATGTAAGAAAGCTCACTGTAACAGCTGGGAGGTGGGATCTGAATCTTTCTTGTACAGTTGACAAGAAATTGATGATCATGGAAAGAAAAGCTTCAAATTTATAACAGCTAAATTTTTGCACTGCTGGTTCATTAAAAGAAGAAGAGAGCAATGTTATTCATTTATGAAGAGACAAATGGGACTTTTACCTCATTGGCTTAGAAGTTAATTTCGAAATAGATAAACAAAGTATTTTGTTTTCCTGAAAGCACTTCACCAGATTCTTTTACTGAGGAGCTGTACTTTATGGGTGTTGTATGGCTCTCTAAAAGACAAATAAAAATGCTTTTCCTCACTTAAACTCTCTTGACAGCCCCATTGAGACTCTTACGCTTTTCATGTGATTATGACACAGTGTACAGCAAAATGTAAAGATTCAAGGGGAATTGCAATAGAATATGTAACAGCACATCATGGCAACAACCCAATTCTGATCGTAGAACACATGAGAAAGTCATTAGTTCACACCGTATTTAGGAAAGAGATGTAACCAAAATGAAAAGGACTCTAGGAAGGCCTTTGCTGGTCATACCTAGCAAGCATTCTCAGATACTACGGTTCCTTTTAGTAGATGGGAGGGTGCTCTGGGAGATAAGTTCAAGTGATGTTAAGTTCAAGTGATGTTATGCTACTCAGTTTATTGTATAAAACAATTTACCTTTCTGAGCCATTGGAAATGATGCAGAAATTCCCAGTACATGTATGGTGGGGTGCACAGCTGCTTATCCATCCAAGAATTAATGGCTCTTTTCTGCTTTTTTATTCTACCTTTTTCTAAAATGATACTGTCTGCACTTATGGAGAGTTAAAAAGAACGTGGCTTGTTGATTTGGAGTTACCCAAGCAAGAGACAGCAGTTGGGATTAGTTGTGTGTAAAGAGAAGTATAATTTTCACTGCTATGGTAGAAGGAGGCAAAGGTGAATATTTGCTCATAAAAGACCTCTTTAAACTTCTTAAAAGACTAACATATTTACTATATTTAGATGTTTAGAGTGCCCTATCTTAAAAAGCTTGAAGAAGGCATATAAAAATCTGGGACAGTGAATCATTAAAAGTGGCAGAAAGTGTTGATCTGAGCGAAGAAAGGGCTTACCTATTTGTCTCCAGTTTTATAGCTTTTTCATCAAGGGAAGTCTGCGAAAAGTCATAAAACCAGAGACATACAGATAAGTGCTGGTCATGTAGAGCAGCTGAAATTGGTGGGAGAATTTAGGAATGTGATTACATTTTCACTTCAGAATTAATGGGCAGCAATGAGTTTAAATAACAGGAGGAGAATTTTGTGACTTATCTAGTCCA